ACTTTCCAAAGGTAGCAGCGCACACATATATCTATTAGGCATAAACTAAGATAATTGCAGAAACCTATCTGCAAAAGAGTTTGAGAAATAGGGTAGTTTTCTAGCCTCAAAACTATAGGAAGCCACGCTGAAGAAAGGAGGAATGAGTAACCCAGTTCTTGGTATTGAACACAGGAGGACTAGGTGGAAATTTAGCAAGAAGGCTGATACGCTAGCCCTGGCAAGACAAAGTGATGCTACATCTGGACAGTAATTTAGAGAAAATGAAGTGTGACAAAGGAGAGAATGAATGTGAGAAACATTTTGGAAGAGATTGTTTCTTTATGACTTGCCAAGTAATTAGTTCTGGAAGAGGGGGATCTAGTTTTCGTGCTGCCTAAACCTTGTACAATTTTATGAGACTGTTTTTAATAAGAAGAATACAAAATTGTCAATTAAAAATTTGATATAAAATTAATATTTCTAGTAAAAATAAATCACAAGGGATTATAAATTATTATAATAAGGCAAACTCCACAAACATTATGAATTCCTGAAAAACATAATATTTTTATTCGTTGACTGCCTGACACACCTCCATAAAGAGTTTTTTCTGTAGTTTTTGGGTATAGATGCTGGATTGCTTTTTCATATGACAAAAACTCTCAAATATCATTTTTATTGGAAAAAAAGATAATTCACTTTTTCCTAGCAGAACTGACCAAACTTTTTAAATCGATACTTTAGAAAAGTTTCTTTTACTTTTATAATTCATTGGTAATGCCACATACATTTTAATGCCTTTCATCAAATTTGGGAAAATATTTATTATGAGTTTTTCATGTGTGGTGTCAAAGCAAAAATTGCACTCAGCAAAGTTAAACAGTCAAGGAAGATTCTGTTTAAGGCCATTGCCCTAGGGAGAGAGGCCAGAGCTCACTCTGAGCTCTACTCCACTGAAACAAGAGATAGAATTTTTACCGTCTAGAATAAGCTAGAGGAAAAGTACCTGAGGATATTAGGGGAAATGTTGATCAATGGGATGTGTCCAGTATGTTGAACTGAGTTTGCCAGTGTGTTTTTTTCTGAGAGTAGGGCATCTGTATTCACTAATTGACACCCATGGAAGTTAGTCTTCTATCCTCCCACAGAGGTTGAGAGATTGAGGAGCTATCTCTCTGGTGAATACATTTCAAAGCGGTGGCTCCCAGGAGCTTGAGGAAGACATTTCTGGGTTGTAAAACTGGCAGGAGGCTTTAAAAAAATTTACATTTTAAAGAGGCAGAGAAAGAATTCACAAGGATAAATTTTCTAAAGAACATGCTCTAAAAATGAAAGGAGGTCAGGACCTAAAGTCAGGAAGAATGACTAAAGTCTAGTCAAACTGAGGGAAACAGGAAGCTCTCTGGGTCAGTGAAAGATAGCATCTCAGTGCTTTTTTAGTTTGCCTATAAAATGACTCTTTAAATACTCTTTGAATTAATAACATTTATTAATTCATTTGTCATTAATAGAATCATTACATGGCATTTTATAATTTTATGGTATCTCTGTTGGTATCAGCATTAATTGCAAATCAATAAGAAATAAATTACCAACATGTTCATATGATAAATGTTAATCATCAAAAATGATCAAAATAGTCTATGCATTACTTCTATTTGAAATGTTTCTATTATTCAATGACTGCTTTTGGTATGCTTTAGAAAAGAAGATTTTACAATTCGCTAGTCCAGGTTAGAATAATTTCTATCCTATTTTTGCAAATGCTACAAAAACCTAAGATCAGGTAAACATGAATAGGGCTCACCCTCCCAGGAAAACTTAAGCAAGTGACAGTCCCCAAATCTTAAGCATCATTACCTTCAGGTTTAAATTTACCCCTGCTGTTGGAGTGATACTGAGAAAGGAGTGGAGGAGAGAAGTTGAGGAAGGTGCAGAGGTTTTTATACCCCTTCCTTATAAGAGTTTTCGCTTTCACAGTTCCCAGCATCCTAGAGAGACTAAGAGTGTACTTGTAAAGTAGCAACTGCCTCCCCTTCTCAAAATCTCCCCTCTGCTCATGGGCCAAAACTGGCCCACCAACTGGTTTTATATGGCCCATGAGCTAAAAATGATTTGTACATTTTAAAATTATTTTTTAAAAATATCAAAAGAAGACTTATTTTGTGGCACATAAAAATTATATGAAATTCAGATTTCAGTGTCTAGAAACAAAATTTTATTGGAAAACAAGCAGGCCCATTTGTTTATATATTGTTCTGGGAGGTGTGCTACAACACAGAGTTTAATAGTTGTCACAAGGACCACAAAGCTGAAAATATTTACTGTCTGGCTCTTTACAATTTGTTGACCCCTGGCCTAGCATTATCTTTGTCAACTAAATATGTTTAAATTTTTAAAAACCAATGATACTTAGTATTATTGTTATTGATTTGGCCACTACCAAATACCAGACATGTGTCGTCCTTACCCAATGCGAAGAACTGAATAATGTGGCACGTTCTGATACCGGGCATGACCCTCAGGGGAGTCATTCTTTAATCACCAGTTCTTTTATTCCTCAAGTCACACCATGCAGGCGGTGGGCCTCCCCTGCTCTTGCAAAGGCAATCTCACTCTAGTTAAATAGAAATATGAAAGATAAAATTAAATTCCAAGCTATCCTGCTGTTTAAAGGATTGCTATGAAAATTCAATCAGCAGTACACTTTTAATTTCACATCATCTGATATTGTCTGAGATTTTGTGACAACGAACCTGGCAGTTTTCTCCACAGTTTCTTATTTTCCTTGAATGTAAATTTTCCAGCTAGTTACTGAAGACCTAGGTAGGAAGGCCAAATGTGTGATCTGTATCAGTCAGAATTCTCTTCGTCTGCATGAAACAGATACTCGATTAAACAAACTTAAGATTTTTTCCCCCCATGTAACCTAAGTTCAGAGGTAATAAAAAAATTCAGAGCCAGTGTCACTGCTCAGGATTGTAATTTTTTGAAAGAGTGGGTGGACATGGCGAGAGTGAGGTATGGGTCTGTTTCTAGCTTCTTGCTCCAACATTCTTACCATTTGTTTAGCTTTTCATCTCATAGCCACAGAGTGACTGTTTTACCTCCTATTATCTAGGCTGAGTTTAAGATGGGAAAAGGAGAGAAACACAAAGGGCAAATGTAAAAAAAGCCAACAACAACAACAAAAACCTGACACAAAATTATTTATCATTCTAATACAACAAACACTGCCTGGCAAGCACTCTTTTAGAATCTTTTCAAATAATCATTCATTGATAATATGCCAGCTGAGTCCATTCTCTTTAATAAGCTGTATTCATCTCATGGGCCTACACCATGCTACTTGGCCATTCCTGGAAGAAAAAAGTTCTGGGAAGGGAGAAATTTCTTAATGGACACATTTGACTCATGAAGTTCTAATAGTAAGGAAGAGTGGAAGAGTGGATATTGGACAACCAGAATAGTTGGTCTCAGTGTACATAACAGAGCCAGTGATTTGAGCCATAGCATGGTCGACTAGGGTCACGTTAGCTGTCTTAATAATTTGTACCAATCACAGAGGTCAGATAAAGAGGTCAGAGGTATGACGTGAACACATTCACTTTTACGATGATTGCAAGATTAACTTTACTGGCCTAAACTCATGGTTGTAGTAGCTCTTTTATTTTTCTATTTTTATTGAGAGCTACTGACCCACATGGATAGGGGATAGGTGGGCAATAAAGCACTGTATAGGTCACCTGCCTCCTGGTAAGGTATAATGGAGAATGGGAAAGAAAAATCTGAGACAGTCAGCTCATCTGTATTTTTCAGTAGTTTTACTAGAGAATCTTACCTGCCTAACAAGTGGCAAGCTTCTGGAAGACAAGGTTCATTTCTGAGGCTCCTTTATTGCTTCCATAAGGGTTAACACAGAGGCTATACTCAAACTTTGTTCACTGATGTATAAACCTGATGGGGGCAGTTTATTCAGATAATTAAATTTTCAACTTAGGAACAATTCATCAACTCCATTTAATACTCAGCTCACTTAATCGAGATCAGCAGCTCCAAGGGATAAGAGCTATATACTCCATAAATCCAATACCTTATATGTGAAACCATTAGAAAAAAGTTGTAGTTTTGCCAGTACCTTCCAAAGTACAATCTGATATTTATAGAATATTAATATAGGCAGAGACTTTTACTATCATTTACTCCTACCTCCTACTTTCTTTCATTTTTGACTGGAAATCTGAGACTCAGAATGGTGAAACTGTCTACCTATATCATTTGTACATGTGACTTTGATGCTTTTACCTTACCTAATTTATTTAATCCATACAATTTTGTCCTTATTTTTATTAGTAAAAGTTCTTATTCTTATCATCTTTAAATCATTCTATAAAGAGATCAGTCCAACACCTATATAGGATCAGGAGGGAAGCATCAGTATTTTTGGTCTGCTAATTTTATACATTTTTTTTTTTTTTTAGCACTTAGTCATAAATGTTTAAAGGCAATCGATCCTTTCAGATTATGAAGTCTATACTTGTTGCCAAAAGGAAAATGCTTTTTGAAATTGTTTTTGAAAAAACAATAGCTGTTGTCACATCCATAGGTGGGAGAAGTATAAAAACTATCATTTATTTCTGGGGTGGTGGGGTGTTTGTATGGGGTTAGAATGAGAGGTAAGTTATATTTTCTCTTTCTGAGTCATATTGCTGTGAATCAGTACAGTGGCAATTCAGTTGTCTGGACTCTTTCTACAAAACATA